TTTGATCAGGACACATCTCTGAGCCAGCCGTGCAAGTCCTCTCCTCCACTTTGTTCCAGTGCAAAGTCAAACTAACTTCAACTACAGGTGGCTTCAACTATCACATCTGACACTGAGCGGAGAGGTGTTGATGCAGCCAGCGCCACCTCCCACGTAGGAGTTGAACCTGCCCCCAGGAGCATCTCACCCTGCTTTGCTCCACAAGCCCAAAGCCCACCAGGTGAGCACCTGGGCGTACCTGAGTTGTAGACAGGGGGGAAGATGATGCCATGGTTCCCTGTTTCTCCACTGGAAGGGCTTCATTTTGACTTCACGCCGCAGCAAGCAGAAGAGGTGCCTCATTGGGCTGGCATCACAGTGGCGGCAGCAGTAGCCCAAGCCTTGGCACGTGGCCTCCACAGGACCCTCCTGCCCCAGCCCCAGCATGATGGTCCTCCCCTCACTGCTCCAGCCAAGGAGGGCCTCAGACTTGACCACAGGGGTGCCGCAGGCCAGCCGAGAACTTTAGTTGCCCAAACAGGTTGTGCATGATGATAGACTGGGCTCAAACCCAGGCTAAGCACACACTACTGACATACCCTCAGCAAGTCTGTGGCACAGCCATGAAATGAAGCTGGATGTCCTGAGGCCACTAGTCCTTCCTTCCTTAGCCTTGTATTCCTGTGAATATAAACCAAACCTTGCAATGGCAGAAGAGCAGTGGCATTCAGTTATTTTGTCCTCATTTGATAAAAATGAAAAGAGGAGGGTGCCTGCATAGCTGATCTGCTGCATTTTACCTCCTGCGTTCTCTGACAGAGAAACCCGACCTCTCAGGAGGCTGCATTAGCAAGCACCCCAGCTCAGAGGCAGCACCCCCCATTCCTCTTCCACCACCTGGGCAGCACAGCATCTTCTCTCCACGGCACTGAGCTGAGGAAAGCCAGTGGTTTACAGGCAGTATGGAAACCTGTACTGTGCACTCTTCTCATTTCCTCTGGAATCCAGTGTTAGGTGTTGTCCAGCTTTCCAATGGGATATGAAAGAGGTTAGGAAGAAAGCTAAAGGATGTTTCTTACATTTACTTAAGAAACATTCAGGTCCTGTTATGTTCTAAGGGAGGGCACTGGCACAGGAGAGAGATCAGGACTGTTCCAACAGGGCAATTCCTATGTTCCCAAGCAGGTCAGGAGAGATTGCAGAGAAAAGCAAACATTGCAAAAACCTTTTGCAACGCAAAACTCAACAAACAATTGCAAATTGTTTGAGTTAAAGCAGAGAAATTGCTTGAATGGGTTTTGAACCCTTTTCCTTCTTCCTAATAATTTTCTGTTTTTGCAAGCATGCTCCTGGAATGAGAAGTCTCATAGTTTAGGGATATGTTCACGCTGGGAACATTCACGTGACCTTTCAGATCACATTCCTCCTATTTATAAGAGTATTAGTCATCCACTTAGAGAGCAGAACTAATACCATGTTTGTTAAATGACTAAATGTGCACTATGAATAACTAGCAGTGGGTACTTAAAACCGTAGTTATATCCAGGAGCACACAGAGAATCCATAGCTAGCACACATTTAGACAAAGCACAAATAATACTGCTGCACATAAAATACATTTGAAAGACAGTCTGAAGACAGGAAGAAAGGGCTAAATTCATCAGATAGATAGATTATTTTCCAGAGATAGTTCATCTAGTTATTTAGACATATAGGATAGCTGGCAAGAGCGCATGACAGCTGAAGACTTAAATTTGAAAAAAGTCCAGGCAGAACTGTAAGATGAAGAGGATGGAACACAACTCCGCTGGAGCTTGGCCATTACACTACACAGAAAATGTCAGCAGCGTTGTACTACAAGTTTGCAACTTTGTCACTGGCAAAACACGGGGTTTAGGAGCTCTGAGTAATGCCTAACTTGTTAACTAATATGTTGCTCAACTTAGCTTCAGGGAAAGCACAATACAAGCCATATGTGTTATTAGCCCCAACACGTTTGTGAGCCCCAGCCAACATGAGTAAATTTTCTGTGCCTCAGATCTTACCAGTGTCTCCAGCAAACTGCCACAAGCAGTATCAGTTCCCGGGTCAGGAGAAATGGTACTTGCCAGGTGCTGAGGACTTCCCTGATCTGCATGCAGTAATATCAGCACTTTGGGAAGCATTTAGCAGGACAAGATAGATGTAGTCAGTGCACTCAGACCATTTTGGTGAAACCATACGAGTGCACAAATCTGGCAGGAGAAAATCTGGAGGAGAGGAGAGGAGAGGAGAGGGAGAGGAGAGGAGAGGGGGAAAAAAGGAAAGAGAAAAGAGGAAAGAAAAG